TCAGGGGATCTCGGGGAGTGAAGCTGTCGATCTTGCTGACGACATAGCTTTGTGTAACGCATGGGCTGTGGCCTCAATCCGCCGCGAAATGCCACGATGGTACTGCCGGCTACCGATCTTGCTGATACGCCTTGGGCTGCGGTGCGCCTTTCAGACTTGCCATCCTCTACAACTGTGCCCGTGTATGCCACACATTTACCGAAGCTGGCGGCAACCGTTTAACGAATTGACCAATCAGCTTTCAACCAAAACTATATGAGTTTTTTGTTCAGCACCTGTCAGCAGTCACAAGGCCATCGCTCGCAAGCTAGCTTCCATAGGTGGCTTCTGACTGAGCAAGCGCACCAGCACTCGAGTCTTTGCTGCCCGGCCGCTGTGCTGGATGAGCTTCCTTGACGGCAACTCTACCCTGCTGATCTCCACTGTCCGCATTCCCTGTGCCTCGAATGGTAAGGCTTCCACAAAGCTTTCGTAAATAACAGGCCGCATGCTTCATCAAACAGTGCGTGTGGATTTACAGGCTGTTTTCCCAAACCTGACTGCATGTGCCAAGGGGCAGCGGGCAGGAGTTGGCCCACGCAAGCCTGCAACGCGGTCGCGTGCTGTGCTCGATGCTCACAGTTTGCATGGACTTCGTCGGGCCTGATTCGTGAAAGGTTGGCGGTTCGAGCCGCAGTTGTACCTGTTCTGGACACAATACCGCCACCAGCCATAGCAAGATCGTGCCCCAAGCACTTCGATGGTCCGTTGGAATCTGCGTGCTGGTGAAACACAGGTCTGATCAAGGCGAGGAGCTGCACGAAGCAGGCTTTGCTGGAAGGATCGCATGCTGGATGAGCATTCAGCACGGTGGACTCCACCTGGCATGCACGACTCGGCTGCAGCGACGAAGGGTGTTGACTTCGTTTTTTGGCATCATGCTGCACCTCCTGTGCAACAGCGTATTCGTGAATAATGGGAAGTAGGATCGTATCCAGCGTGAGTCTGAGTGCCCAGTTTTGGTGACTTTCATTGAACTTAATCTCCTTTTGCAGCTAGTATTATTCTGGTCGTCTGCCTGTCGACGACTGCAGGGTGAAAAAGCCTTTGTCGCGCACATCCAGCACGGGGCACCCCCATTGAAGCCACTGCAAATTTCTCTGACGAGGTCACGCGCCTCCACTTCATCCGGCAGGGTCTCTAAAGTCTCAGGGTCCACCCTGCCCCATTTGGACGTGTCGGTGGTCAGCCAAAGCTGATCCTTCGGAAGCACAGCGCTGCACGCGGATGTCGGGTGCCCTACTGCGATGCCTGTTCCTTGCCTTCCTCTGGACTAGAGCTATGTGTCAGTCTCATGCCGAAGATATTCTCGAAAGGTCTACGTAGGAAGAGTCGCCGAAAAAGCCAGCAAGGACTGCAACAAGCTTGCCTGCAAATGCACGGTACACGGTCCTCAATGGGGAGCAGATTTACGACCGGGTTCGTCAGGCAGGGATAGATGCCCAAAGTTGGGCCTGTACCAGTGCCACCGAAGATGCACGAGTGGAAGTGCCTTCGCGGCCATATCTGCGGATTTCAGTGATGCACCATCACATTCCAACTCTCTCGATTCTTTAGATACTGCTTCGCTAGTATGGGAAAACAGTATCGCAGGAGTGCTGCCTGTGAGGAGGGCACAGGTGATGTCCAGAGTTAGCAAGTGAGGCACCATGCACTCGTTGGTTAAGCACACTCGGTTGCGCTCTCTTTGCCTCGCCACATTTCACTGCTTGCATACTAGTGCCGACTCTGCAGGGAAGATTTAAGACTTGGCATTCCGTCGTTAAAGAAAGCTCCACATAACGAACGACAAGAATATCCTCCGGAGGACCTATGACCCTCTTGGCACAATACTTCACGATTTCTCAGGCAGCTGCCGCATGTCCCAAACCCTTCTGTGCCGGATCGCTTCTCTGCGCCAGACTCGTATGGCCGTGCCGTCCAGGTGAGGCGACCCTTTGAGAAGCTGAACTTCACCTGAGGGGCAGTGCAACCCGAGGCAAACGGCACGGGGAGCTCTAAGCCGAAATACAGAGTCAACAGCTTGACTGATTTTTTCTTGACTGTTTTGACTGAAACGGGTGAAGCCGATGTTAAGCACCTGAAACCTTCACTCGCGCCAGTCCAGTGCAACTGAGGGGCCACGGTCGCCAGGCCATCAAAGTGGAAGTGCATCCCGTCGGGGAAGATCCCGGGTACCAATCCTAGGTCAAGAGCTCAGTGAAACAGACCTGCCCTCTGCGAATGCACCGGAGGAACCACCGAACCACAAGCAAACGAGCACGACAGGATCCAAGCGGCTGTAGTGGGTGACGCCCTCCAGGTCGGCCGCAAGCTTGTCTGGCAAAGCAGCGGAAGAGCTGGAGTTGCCTCGGGATCTTGGTTACAGGGTGACATCTCTGGCTCGCCAAAGGGACGCCCGCCTCTGTCCTAAGGAACCCCCGGGCTTTCACGATTTGATAAGCACGTCTTCTGAACTTCTCACCTACCACCGATCAGATTGAATTGTTCAACTAGGGAAATGACGAGTTGCCCTGGGTACCAGCGTGGTTACCTACATTCTCTTGAGGATTTGCTAGGCTGAATTCCATGGCTGCAGACATATTGCCATCTCAATCATATTGGCGTTTGCTTGTGCACTGAGTCAAGGTCTGATCTTTCGGCATGAGCTGCCGTTCACTGCAACAAGGCCGTGATGCTAGGCCGAGAGGTCCGGCAATTCTCAAGACCCGCGCTAAGGCCTGATGTCCCGAAGTTGGGGCACCAGCAACCCGAGAGTGTGTGGAAGTTCCGTGAAAGTAATTACCAGAAGCAAACGAGTGCCCTGGACCTTTAGATGATTAAATATGGGGCAGTCTTAAAGATCATACAGACGTGGACGCCCAACTGGGTCCCATGCTAAAGTCGACCGCCCGCAGGAAATAGCCCAACGGCTGGCGCACATCCTGTCATGTCTCGTCGAGCAATCGATGTGAAGCATGGTGCAGGGTTCGGAATGCAGTGCATCTTTCGTTGGTTCGGTTTGCGGTTCCTTGTTTGGGTCGTGACGTGCGCTTGTATTGAATGTGTGTCTGCATCAACACCGGCTCAGGGATTTTATAGAGTCAGCGTGCACCTAAACACGGCCTGTCACGAGCACACAAGCACAAAGCCCGACAAGTAAGCTTGGTCACCCCATCTTATCTAATCATGGCTGCTCGTATAGAGGGAGTGGACACAGGCCCTCGTGACTGTATGCGTGCTTCGGTGTGAAAGAGTACAACGAATGAATGACCGAATAGATGGATGGATGAATGGATGTATGGATGCATCCATAAATCAATGAGTGCATGACCGAATGACAGAAAGAATGAATGAACGAACCGCTTTGAGACTAACCGGAAGATCGATCCGAAAGGCACACTGCTCGGAGCTTCAGCGACTCTCTCGCCTCCTCTGCCGAGAAGCTAAGCCACGTGGGCCAGGATGCCTCAACGTACCATGTAGAGCATGATGTATATACCGCATGTGTACATATATATCATATATATGTAAAGATAGATAGATGTGCATATATATATATATGTAAGTATATTATACATATGCACATGTACACATTTTTTGGCACTCGCGCTCGACTAGGTCAAGCGAGGACTCCAGAAGACCACAACGAACTCACAAAATGTGCATGCATGTTGGTATATGTATTGTGTATGTATGTGTGTATATATATATATATATGTATGTATCTGTCTGTGCGGTAACTATAAATATACCTCTTTTCGTAGAGAGAGAGAGAGAGAGAGATCGTAGAGTGGAGGTATATACATGATATAGACGTAGATACCATCTGACTTTGGCCCCCCCCAAACCCCAGACATCGGAACATCGATGGTCACTGCCATGAGGGCTCGACATCCTGAACAAGGCAGCGACAAGATGCACAGCACGTCATGTGTCAAGAAGGCGCGTCTCCTCTAGCAGGCTTCAGTATGCTTCAGGGTAAGCCTGTGGTGAATGCAGATATTTTGTCTCTGCTGAGAAACTGACTGGCATACGCATGGTCCCATGTCCAGCAGACCCCAACTTACTGCTGTCTCCCGCAACCCCATGACTTATCTGGTGCCTAAATGCCCCGGCCTCTGTTGCTGGTATACTGCCGCCGGGGAGCTGCCAGGCCGACGATGCAGACCGGCAGCGACATGAACCAAAGGCATCGCTTCATGGCTCCCTGCTTTGCCCCCGGCCTCTGGGTGTCCATTCCCATCCCGGGCTTGAGCAGCGCTGGACAGCAGGGGATCGAGGACAATGCGGCCCCTCAACAAATCTAAATGCTGCTTCTGCTGTTGCTACATCGTGCCTTCCTATGCCCAGATGTATTACAACCAAAGTCTTGCAGCAGCGGTGCTGTCAGGAACGCCGCCCAGCATCGATTCACAAGCCTCCGCGCAATGAGTGACTGCTGACCGATTGGTCTCGACATGCTAAGGGAGTCAAGAGACTTAGTCCAGGGCCTGTACATGTACAACGGGCATGTATGCGGAACACACGTGATTCAGAATCCCAGCCTTCGGTTAAATTGGTGATGCTGCGTCTCTCACAGACAGCAAGCATTGGTCTTCAACAAGCGATGTCGGAAAGTACCAGCCACACAAAAGCCAAACCAAAACATGAGGTGTGCCGTTCAGAGTTCTGGGCGAAACAGAGACAATCATGTAAAAAACAACTTGCAGTCATGATACAAGCATTCATATACAGGCCCACTTGACGGTTGGCTGTTTCAAGCCGTGCTACGGATGATGGTCAGGCACAGTTCAACCTTGAAGCCACGTCATGAACTGGTCTTGGGCTCTGTGCTTCGTGGCTTCGTGGAATGAAACTCATGCAGTTTCCAGAATACAGTTTGCTGACCGAGCAGTTCCAGAGAATTGGAACACGACATCCCTCGGCTGTTGCCCACAACCCTATACACCCTACAGTATAAGGCCGATGCACCTGCCGAACTACGAAACTACGGTACAGCCCGAGAGCAGCGCCTCCTTCAAGGTGCCCGGACGCCGAGCATCGGCTTGGACGATGCTGGCAGCCGGGATCTTGGACACTGCTCGTGCCTCCCATGGCAACATGGCTATGGGTTCTGCTTCTCCGGCTCTTTCCGGCAAGGAGCTGCCTTTTTAGGGTCGCTATTGTCTCTGTCTTCCGGCCCCTGGTTCCCAGAAACTCCTAGCATGCTGAAGTTGCTTTGCCGGAGATTCGCACCAGGTATTGACCGATATGTCATGAGCTTTTCGGAACAAGGCTATCCTACAAACATTGTAAGAAGCTACGAACGCCAGAATACACTTTCGGCATGTTTCGGAATGCTATGAAATGGTTTGCGAAGGTTTCGAGGCGTTCCTGGCTCGAGAAACACTTCCGAAACTTAAACCAGCAAGCAAAGAAAGCAGTAGGGACAGTAGAGCAGTCAATAGTACTCCAGAAATAACAACCATTCAAGAGTTGAAGTTTAAACCAATCCCACAAAAGCACAGATAACACTGAAATAGCCACGCCAAAGCATTTTACTTAAAACGAACCTCCGACTGTTTTTGCCATTCTTGGAAAGACTGGGCTGATTCTGAAGTCTTTAATATGCTACGGCTGCTATGAAAGCTTTCTGAATGATTCTGGAGTTTCTGGAACTTCGGGAACTCTCGCCACGAACTGAGCCCCAACCCTGGGTGAATAGCTTGGTGCATCCTTGCTGCTTTCTGGTGCAATAAAGTGTCATTTGCAAAATGAATTCCTGTCAGCACTCCAGAAACACTGTAATAGCCTCAGTTGAAAGTGTTCGGTGGGCGTGCTGCACATGGAGCCGGGGAACTGCTTCCTCTGCCATTGTGCTGGAGGAGTCCACGCCCAAGTAGCGTAGTACCTTAAGGAATAAGAGGATCCGGTTCGTTCAGGAAATGCTGGGGCAGCTGTGTCGGGATCTCGAGTTTGTGTATGTTCCAACATTCCTGCGATGCTCATCTCGGCAGACCATTGTAAACATGTAAAGCCTCGAAGGGCAGCCTCCCCGCGCAAGCCTCAACCGTTACAGAAAATGAGGCCCTAGGAGACGGCATGAATCAAAACGTAAAAACAGTGCTGCGGTGCCTATACAGCTGTCGACATAGAGAGTATATCAAGAAGACAAGCTTGCATATATACGTATATATATATATATACAATATGACCATACAGGCCTGTCCATGTGTACCTTCCCGTCCCTGAACCTGCGGCTGCATGGCTGGTTCGGGACATGCGCGTGCAGCTCCACGATCTTATCTACATATATCGTACATGTTCCATCGTGCCGCGATCCTTGTGGAAATCCCAGGAACGAATTCCAGCACAAATTGCTTCTCTTGAATTGCTGAGGCAGGCCAAAAAGCCACAAAACTCGCACCATTGGCCCTTAGGCATAGGTCCAACTCTACATGCCGAGCATTTTTGAAGCCTCGGCCCGAAAACACACATGGATGTCAGCCTCCAGCCAAGCGTCACCCGACGAGCTGTCGTAGACACCTTGCACCCATCGGCCTGAGCCGCATCCCAGCTCCAGGATACTGACCTCTCGCCAGAAACCGAAATGCACGGAAATCATGAACTTTGCCTCGTCTTGGCGAGTCCAAAAGGATTGAAAAGGATCATCAGCTTCTCTCATTTTCTTCACCCCGACTTTGAACCGACCTCTCCCGTAAGTCACTCTGAACTCTCTATCCCAGCAAGCCAGCACCTCACCCTTCTCCAGGCCAGCCATTCGTGCGACGGCCGCCCTTGCCTGAGACTTCCGCAGCGTCACCACCGGCTTCCTAATGAACACCTCTGCGAAAACCTGCAAGCACGAAACACAGGCACACACATATTTTATGCGCATCTACGTACTTCTACTAAGCACTAGCAGTTGCTACAAGTAGCAGGCGCATCTTCGTGTGCGAACGCTGTACCGGCTCTAGCCCGAAACTGCTCAAAGCACAGGAGATTCCATTCGGTTGGATTGCACCATCTTCGAAGGGCGCAACAAGGTCGATGAGGCGACCTTTCAGGAGTTGTCAAGAAAGAGTCTCGTTGAAACGGCGAGGATTCTTTGCTTGCACCTTCCTTGATGCATGATGTCCATGTGGAGCGGTGGTTTTGAACGAGACGATGCGGGATTGGGTGCGAGAACTAGAGCTCTTGCTTGAAGACTCTCTGTCTGTTCCAGAATGTCAACAGTGCGTCCATGTACATGGTGGTTGTATGCACTACTTCTCAAGGCAACTCCCGCTGCACGCGATTCGACGTCGAAACGGCAGGGAATGCTGGCATTCTCATGCCTGAGCACTGAACATCCGAAGCACGGTAGCCCCTCCTTGCAGTCTGAGGCCACTGCCAATGAGGTTGTAGAAAGCATTGGGGTCGAAGTCAACGTCTCCGTCCACCAAGACCTAATAAACATCATGTATCCGACATTTAGGCGAAGATTCTAAGATCGCTGGAAATAGAAGACGCTTGAACCCAAGCGGAATCTCGGAAACATGTGCAGCTTTCACACTCCAGAGAAGCTTCGACAGCAGCCCGTAACGATACTAACCTAGTGTACCCAAAACAGTCCGCAGCGAATGCCTTCAAGATCCTTCAATCCTCGGCAACTATCTCATAGCCACGGCACGGCGAGCCTACGCAGCACAGACTTGTGGGAAGCAGTTTGCGAGCCTCTCCTGAAACATGCTTGGACTTGCTTTGCGGGCAGGAGCGACAATTGCCTGTGTCAAGTGCAACGACCAGGAATAGTCGGGGACATTTGGCGGTGTGCTAGTTTGTTCTGCTCCCTGCAAGTTTCCGGAACTCGTAGTTGCGTGTGTTCCCCAGGCAGGGTTTTGATGCAATACCAGTAGTATAGCTGGTTCAGACTTTGGCGAGCGGTCTCTACCAAGGACCTACGAGTCATAACATGCAATGCTTGAGTGTCCATGACCGGCTGTTTGCTTCTTGCCTGAGGATTCCAAGGTACATTTCTGGACTCACAGGGAGACCGCAAGGGAGTTATTGCTGCCTTTCTTCGACTTGACTGGACCTGCACATACTTCCTGTATACTGCATAAACATGGAGTCCGCAGTGAACGAAGCCGGGTCGCCCTCCCAATGCATTCAGCAGCGTCTGAAGCGGAGGCGATGGAGCGTATCGAATCTCTGACACAACCTTGGCTTTGGCTTCCTTTGGGCTCCAGACAACAACGAGGCACCTTCATGAACAGCTAGATTGCTGACCTGTCCCCCACCGGTGCACTCCTCACAAGGCCGAACTTAGGCAAGTGCTATGCGTCCCAATCACAATTGCTCCGCTGCCGGCAGCAGCAGCCGAAACGTGGATCGTGTGCAAGAACGAGTTGTCTTCGCCTTCCTGAAACCCCAATCAGGAAGTAGAATGACATACCAGACAAGGCACGGGGAGACAGAGAAAGTTACAAATTCGGACTCTGAACCTACACAGGTACCACCAGGTGTCTACAAGCCGGACCCGAACCGTGTTGTTGCGGGAGCTCACTCCAAACAACGCATGGCAACATCGAAGCGAATTGCAGTGTATGCGCCAAGAACTCCAAGAATCGTTCATCATCAGCCAAGCCCACCGAGCCCCAATCTTGGACCATCACCTTTAAGTGCCTGCAAGGAGCAACGCTACCCAGCATCTCAAGCTGGCCTGCAGCTTCTGTGAAGTCGGCTTTGAGGACCTGTGCGGCAGCAGCTGAATCGAGATAGACTTAAGGCATTTCCCGGCAAAAGCTTCAGAATTTCCTTGCCCTGACCTGATTCGGGCAAAAACACCTCGAAGGGATTGAAAGCCTGAACCCAATGAGCTCGTGGCACGTTCAGAGCGACAAACTCACTTAACAGCAAGTACCGAATAAACCTCGGCTTATCCTGCCTTCCACCGGAAGCGGCGCGCTTCCTGGCCAAATGCCCCAACCACACCGCATAGCTCTGCGTCGGTCTGCAAGGGGCCACCTTCGGCGTATGTCAGATTAATGAGTTAATCTGAGGCTTCGAAAATGCAGAGGATGTGTTGCTCCTTCCGCGTCTGTTGCTGCTGCTGGTGCTACCGATGCGAAATACCACCACTGCTGCCACTGCCATTACCACGCCTCCTACGACTACAGTATGACGGCGACTACGACTGTGACGACGAAGAACATGTTGCGCCCAGAAAATCATTGCCGTCGAAACTGTCGTATTCACGATCACTGTCGTGATCCTCAACATGAATGTCGTGCCTTTTAAGTCTCGTCTACCTACTGCTTTCCAGCTCCGAACATCGACAACGTAATCACCGTATGCAACCTGGCATGCATCGTCACCATTCTCATCATCAGCTTGGCCATCATCATAAGCGTCATCCTTTCTGTTGAATAGAAGATTATAGAGCGCACCGTTGATGAACTAACCTGCTGGATGGCTATCATAAGGTCAGCAATTGTCGTCCCTCCTCATCGCTATTGCAGAAACACTTGTCCCTTTCTCGTCACGACATCCCTGCCCTGCCCAGCCCCTCCACCCCCCCCACCAACGCCCGCCACCCCCCTTCCGCCCCGAGTGCTGCGGCCTGTTACATCAAGTAGCTGCAGCGGCCACGGGATGCCATAGCATTCCTCGTGCTGTGGTACAGTCTTCGTAGTCTTAAGTGCTGACATGTTTTACTGGTTGTGACTGCTCGGACTTGGTGGTTCAAGGCGCATGGGCTTGTTCAGCATGGATGGCTCCTGCGTGAACTCTTCGACTTAGACTTATTGGTACGACGTCAACCGTCTGGATTGCACTCAGTGTTTGCCAACATGGACGACTATATAGCTTGGAACTAGGACAAGTCCATCCCAAGCTGACAGGTAAGGACATGTAAGGACGAGGCCTCCAAAGCTTGGGACTTTGGGCTCCCTGGCGCACAGGCTCGCTGTCTTGCTGGTTTGCTCGGCTTCGGCATTTACCAGCTGTCCCTCTCTGCACGGTCTGAGCCCCGTTTCTGACATAGGAGTCACAACCATTCTCAAAGACAAAATGAAGTAGGTCTATTGGGGTCCTGTTGCTGCACTCTGTCTCAAGGATTTAACGTCTCCAAGGCTCCGTGAGTTGCAATGACACCCAAGCCTGCGACAACCCTCCTGAGGCAGCTGAGGCATCGCGGACTTGCCTGCTGAGAGTATCAACCCCGCAATGTATGAGCTTAGCCTGCCAGTTCTCAGCAGATGTACGCACGGTGTTTCTGCAACTGCTGTGGCATCGCTGTTATAGCCTCTCGGAGATGCACCGTTTTCAAAGCTACATCTACCCCCGACCACTCTCCTTCAGCACCAGTGAGCAGGGCCCAAATGCGCGCAGGGGCAGCTGAGAACTCTCCAGTCACCCTCGATGACACCTCGGTTGACTTTGAGTTCCAGTACGAATGCAAGCCACAGTCTATCCATCCGGATAGTCACGGCTGGTCTCAAACATATTCAAATAGAGGTATCAGAAAAGAAGAACAGCTAAGCCGCTGAGCGATCATAGCGACATTGCTTTGTCCCCTGGATTCCGGCATATCCTGATGAAGCACTCCTTCCTGTGGACTACTCTCACTATGCTGAAGCATCCGAATCCGGAAGGCCTCCAAGAGAAACATTGAGACCCTCCACCATCGCACTGCCACTGCAGGGATGCAACACCAAACTCCAGCAACGTAGTTGACTCGTCATAACGCACGACTGAAAGTCAGAGCCGGGGTCAGTTGTGGAAGTCATACCCGTAGTAGCATGTGGCGCATGAAACATCAAGCAGCTCCTGCAGCAACCTCTAACAGATGCCTCACAGACGCAGTTCATTACTCAGACATGTAAGTACGAGACACCTGGCAGCAGCATGTGTACTAGGATTGGTCCATCAGCTGCCCACTGGAAGCCCATCCAATCAGCGGCCGAGCAACGGCGAGGCGCCGCACCATGGGGTTGCCAATCAGGTACGACAACCTACCCGAGCAGAACGGCAAACCGAAGCTTTTGTTGTCTGTGAAGCCTGACACACGTGGTAACATCCCAGTCACACTCCGCTTCGGGTCATCAGAACGATCACACCGCGACCCATGCACTTTTGCAAGTCTTGGTATGACCCTGACTCCAATATCCTGACTTAGCAGTTCTGGAGCAAGTGAGTAATGCAATCTTTGAGTGTGGAGGTCCTACGGCCTTCATATGCTGTTAAGTGAGCACTGCTGTCGATTTGATCGCAGGCGCTTTGATGTCCCCGATGTTACCTCGATGAAGGTGTTTTGACATCCTGGGTATATCAACTGTGTAGAGATGGCCTCATCCGACACCATAAGGGAGATCCTGCACTTTTTTAAGTCCAAGATTTGGACTGCTCTTTGTGCCTTCAGATGTGGTTTTGTTATGGGGGTGGGACAGGTTGTACGACTGCTGGTAATATCCCACCTCGGCCTGGTGAGCTCGTACTATGTCAGCAGATTTCTGCGCCACCTCCCCACGTTTAACTGGCGCATGCCAACACGGCATCGTCCCGAACTCTTTGCCCCGAAGATGAAAGATGTATGCATGTGCGTATGCATGTACATCGGGGTATGTAGGTATGTATGTGTATCTCTGTATATGTATGTGTAGATATGTATATGTACAGGTATATGTATTTGCATGTATGTATGTACGTTTCCCTACCTGCATGTGCACGTGAATGTGTAGGGGCTGGTGTAGGTGTATGTCTGTACGCATGCATGTATGTATGTATGCATCCATACAGGCACTTGTCGAATTCAAGCACAAGAACCATCATTGCAGCAGCACCGTCGTCATTAGTATCACCAGCACCATCACCATCCTCTGTACATTAACAGCACTGATCATTTCTCGTAGTGCGCCTGTGCCTCCTTCTGGACGTCACCATCATCGTCTTCATCTTCACTATCAACGCCATAGGCGACGCCATTGCCGTGACTGTGTCGCAGGGGATCAAAGTAGCACACAACCATGGCTCATGAATTGAATTGGTTCAATGAAGGGTTCCCATGCTGACGAAAATGCACCAAGCCGCTCATCCAGGCTTCGGGAGCCGCGCGGCGGCGCATCCGCATCCTCTTTTTGGGGAAGCTCCTGAGAGGGAAGAGAAGAGAGAAAGAAAGCAGTGGAAAGCGGCAAGGCATTTATGTTCCAAGGGTTATCATTGGCTACTTGGCTCGCCCGCTGGCCACATGGAAATATTCACCCACTCGATATGTTCAAAAAGCAAATCGGTGACAACTTAAAAAGCAAAAGCAAATCGGTGACAACTGACGCCGGCTGTGTCCGAAAATGTGCTCGATCCCTTCTCAATGCGACCACATGGACATCAACCTTGAGAGCAAGCTGTAAAAAACAAGAGTCTCTGGGGTCTGCGGCAGCTGTTGAGCTTCCATCGAAGCACGCCTGAGGGTTCTTAGGAACATACGCAACCACCAAGAGGCAATGCTTCGTGCAGCACCCGGGAGATTGACAGCGACCCTAGGAGTAATTCGAAGACGTGCCACCTCCAACCACTAACGTATGTGCGCGGTCCCCCCCCCCCCGCTCCCAATGAAGTGCATTATCCGTTGCTGCGCGTTGTGCAGGGTTCCATGACCGAGAACCGAAGACTCCAAGTACAGGACGTTCTCCCAGCTGGAATAAACCACGGAACACCAATTCAATGTACCGGGATCCCTACTGGGCCCATAGCAAGAGCCGGAAATGTACTTCGAACCACACGCATCGATGTAACACCTCCCCTCCAAGTACATTAGATTAGGTAGGGGTGTTGAACACATGACCATTTGGGTTCAAGGAGAGGGGTCGAGACGAGCCATGCAAAGGCCTCCAGACTTTCATCCATCTCGTACTGTAAATTTACTGCCACTGTGGTTTTGGCTTTATTCCTTCCACAAGCTAAGTTCCTGGTGTACCCAGCTTATCCCAGCTTAGTCAGTCGGCCGCGTCGACGCTGGAGTCGAGTAGGACTGCGTTCCGCTCGACGCCACCTTGCATTGGATTGTTGGAGCATGTCGAGATCCAAGGACAAGGATAACGAATTCAAAATGCTAAGTAAGTAAGTGAACATGTTGGATGTGGGTTTTTTCCCTCCCGCCTGGCTAGGATTGGATGTGGGGTTGATAGTGGCTTGCTGGCTCTGCTCAAACTTTCCTTTGGCTCACTCGGTATTTTCTGCTCCTTCCTGTTGAGGTGGAATGGACAGCCTGAATACATAAATGGCGTGACAGCCTCGTTTTTGTCGCCCACGGCTTAAAATCGTAATCCCTTTGAACGGCCCTGAGGAGTAGCAAACACCAGTGAGCTAGTTAACGCCCGAAAGTCGTAGGAGTACCTGGAGTTTGCAGTCGCAAAGCATCCAGGCTGCATGAGCGTCGTCGCTGGAACGCAGCTGCAGCACCCAGTACTGCTGCAGCCATGCAGCTCCTTTCGCGAGAATCTCTAGAGATTTGGTTCTCTCTCTCCCTCTCTCCCTCCCATTCTCTCTCTCATGCTCTTGTAACCTCAGCACTCAGGGATCCAGGGACACAGGTTTTAGCAGATGGGAGTGCAACAGACACTGCAGCTAAACAACAAACAAACACCAAGCGAACGTCGGCACAAAGTAGTACAGACGTTATACCGGTGACAGGGACGGCTCTGCTTTCCTTGGGCCTGTTGCTGCGGGCCCCTGCTGCGTCTTCCGGGGCAGCCCACCGGGGCGGAAAGCTCCGAAAGCGCTTGGGGCCGTCTGGGACACACTAGGCGCCACCAAAGCCATAGCTTCACGCCAAGCAAGAAACAGCCGGAAGATGGAGGGAGTCTGCTCCGAAATTCGCCTTCAGCTCACGGAGGTGATTGAAAACATCCGGAGTTCGTGCAGTCCAAAAAAAATGGGCTGGCTCGATTGCTCAGTCGCAATTAAAACAACTACAGTATCTACTGGAGTACTCAACTAGGGGCGATTGCCAAGGTGTCTGAGGACAAACGCGTGTCCGACTTGATGCTGGCGGTGCATTTCCCGTTCTATTTCGGCTTGAGGGGCGCGTGTCTGTAAACATGTTGGCAGCTGCCGCCTTGACCCAAGCAGCAAATACATGCAGACACACACACACACAAACATAACCACACACCCACACACCGACCGACCGACCGACCGACCGACCGACCGACCGACCGACCTACCTACCTACCTACCTACCTACCTACCTACCTACCTACCTACCTACCGACCGACCTGCCCACCCACTCACCCAGCTACCCACGCACCCACCTACATTCATACCCGCATACTGTCGCATACTGATATACATTTTGACACTCGCGCTCGACCAGGTCAGAGAGGAACCCAGAAGATGACAGCTAGGCCGACAGAGTCACATTGAACTCCCAGAGCCCAGAACTCACATCTCACACTCAGTACATGATACTGATATACGTACAAGTATACATACGTGCATGCATGCATGCATATGTTCCTTAAACGACATACATAGCTACATACGTAGTTCAATACACTACTTAAATTATTAAACGGCATACATAGTCACATAGTGATATTATAGTTACATACATCTGTTCATACGTACATACCTACGTACATACATTACATGGCATGGCATGGCATGGCATGGCACGGCATGACATGACATTACATTACATTACATTTCCTTTACATTACATTACATTACATTACATTACATTACATTACATTACATTACATTACATTACATTACATTACATTACATTACATTCCATTGCATTGCATTGCATTNNGCATGGCATGGCACGGCATGACATGAAGTGACATGCCATCATATGGCATGACATGACTCTGACAAACATACAGGAATCATACAGGCTTGCATTAGCACAATCATGCAATCATATTCTTATACAACAACTACACACCAATACATTAATGCATTTTTGTATTAATGTATGAACCACTACATCAATACTTTGCTATGTTGATACAATTTTACATTACGTCACATTCCAACAAATTACACTACATACATAAATGCATACATACAGTTGCTACATACGTACCTCAAGCCCTGCGCAATCCACCAACCTCGGCAAGTTAAGAGTCCAAGCCCGAAGGACCGGAGGCGCTTTAAGCAGCCGAGGTCACGGCAGAGGCCGAGACAGCTCGAGGTCTCGGAGGTGTAAGGCGAGGCAGGCAGACACGGTTGCTATGCCCCTCCCGCAAATCAAACATTCCCGAACCCGGAACTGAAAATGTCTCGATGGGACATCAGCAAAAGCACCAGGACTCTCCATGGAACCCGCCCCATGCTCTCTCCGGGCATTGCTCAATCAGCAGAAACACTTACCGAATGTTGTTTTAACTTGGCTCTAGACAGTGAAGGCAGCATGGCCCAACTTGGTCTGTGCCAGCTTGAGCGACCGCGGGACAAAGGTCGCGAAACTTCGCTTGCAAGTCATCTGCCGAAGCTGCACCCGATAGGCTGGCACTAACGGACATTATCAGGTTCATTGCGCAGCATGTACTGCAATCAGAAAGTCCCAAAGAACACATGCAAACAAGCGGCAAAGGAGGGATGGGGATGCTCGTCTTTGTCCTCAAGGCTGCACTCGGAACCCGCCCCGTGCGAGGCCGACACAGGGAAAGCAGATTTGCCCAGTCAGGAGAGAGTTGTGCATGTGTTTGATGTATGTACGGACCCATGGTTCTATCTTCCGGAACATGATCTCTGTACTCTTGGCTTCCGGGTCGGTTAATATCCACAGAAAGAGGAGGGAGAGAGAGAGAGAGA